TTAACATTTATTGGGCCATATAACCCATTTTAGGCAACTAGCTTGGCCACACAAAAAAATGAGTTTTTCCATGCATTACCATAATAAATACACCGAGCAAAACGACGAAAGATTTAACGCAGCGATGAGAGCAAAAAAACATTATGTATTTTTACCCATGTAAGCGCCTTTACAAACATAAACTGTTAGATTAGGATCTTATATTTGGTGGGAAAAACCTGAGTGTTAGAAAGGGCCTAAATGGCTTGGTGGGCCGGGTTGTGGCCCACAGGCCATCTGTTGCCCACCACTGCTCTAGTCCATCTCATACTTCCTAAACACTCATAAATTCCTAGTGCCTACTCTAAACAACTTTACAATTTATGTTTCAATCATGCATAATGGCATGTTGTATTAACCGAGCTAAGGATGACACAATTTCTAGATGACTAGATGACTTTAATCTTTGATCAATGGTGACTCCAACTCCAACTGAATGAGCCGAGCTACTCAAACACACATAAATATATTCCTATAAATATACTTTCTCAAACAAAAAACTACAAATTATGTATGTTCCAATCACAGACATGCATAATGACATGACGAATTTACCGATGCTACCTCCAAAGATTGGAGCTTGTCGCCGTATTGTTCATCTGGTTCGACAGCGTCTTTCCAGCCCCCATCCTCTTCTTCTTCCTCCCCGGCAGAATCTTCAATGATCTCGAAAAATACGGTTTTCCCCGTCATACGACTGAATGAGTTGTCGAAACAGACAACGTAGTCGCCTTCAACTGTCGGGTCCACACTGAAAAAAAAATGAAAACACTTTGATAGGAACTTTTCATGATAATAAATCTAATCAAATGCACAAGGGTTTCTCCATGTTTTTGGAGTTCTACAGAAAAGGTTGGAACCACTGCGCTGTTCAGTGGCCTTTTCAGGAATAATAGTCATTTCATATCAGTACAGAGCCTTGTTTCCAAAAGAAAAACCTACGCTAACAAATATGGAATTGATAAGGATGTCTGTATCAGTTATACTCAAATGTAGTTATATCCGGCACAGTAACATTTTTTGTTATGAATACCTTTCACACTTTAATCTGTACAAACATGCACCGACTATGGGTACTCCCGTAGTATGTGAACCAAGATGGCGGACACCAGAACGTAGTATGTGTACCAGGTTAGGGCTAGGCAATAATTTCAGATACAAATACTACAGGAGTCACTTGGCTAGTCTCCGAACTCGCAATAGAGCTGAAATATGGAATAAAATTATGGCCTAACCTGGTACACATGCTACGTATTGGTGTCTGTCATCTTGGTTCGCATACTACAGTAGTACCCCCAACTATATGCTAAAGGATAGCATAAAGGAGCTAAAGGATATTATCTTTCCCGTTCAGCCTTTAAGCAATAATTTCAAACATACTATTTCAAAATTTATGAAGATCCTTATTCAATGGAACTTACGTATGTATCCCGTCCGTCTTTCTCATATCGCTGACAACAACCCGGCCATCCGGTGCTTGAATCATAAAGTTAATGTCGAGATCTCCCCCATCTATGACCTGGAAAGAAAACAAAATTGCTCAAATAACGAATTTCACTCCAATTGGGACTTTAGAAAGCGACCACTGAGATAAAAGAAATAATAAACAAGCAGTGGCTAAAACATGATTGTAGAGATTGCTATATTTGCGATTTAACTTTATATAACTGTTTCATTGCACCAGTAGGGTCTGGTATAGTTTAGTACCACAAGTACTTCCAGTGGGCGCAGCATAACGAATTATATTGTTCCTAACATGACTATATCATCCAAAAATTACGTCACTACGATGTCACAATCACGTCATATAGCTTGCCAATGTTTAGATACGATCGCCAGAAACAGCATCTGCGCCGACCATAACAAACTCTCAAACACAGGCTGTCTTTCTCATATCGGGACCGTTGCGACGAGGAAAATAGCTTGCTCGATTTCGGGTGATCGTAGGCACGTTTTAGATGACCATTTGTACACTATGGAGGTCTTGAATACGCCACTGTGACGTAATAGTGACATAATTTTTTGGTAAAGTAGTCAGGTGGGGGTTGGAATGACATATGCAAAAATTGTTGAGCCAAGCCGATTAGAAGTATATGTCAGGGATGGCGAACCTTTTTCAGCGAGTGGGTCAAAAATTATATTTTTATCGCGGAACAGAAGAGAGTGGGTCATAGATATTTGATTTAATGTTTGTATCTATAAAAAAAACTTCTGAAACAAATCTTATTATCTTCTGTTGGTGATGGTGTAGTTTTGGGCTTTACTTCAATCAGGAACTTATTATGGCACTCGATTTTATGGAATTAGAGTACGAAAACGTGTATAAATTACCAAAAACGTTTAGGATGATGCGGCAAATTATTTTACGGTTCCAAGCAGTTTGGAGGGAATTCCACTCTGATTGTGTTATATTTTTCGATCTGCTTTTAACCACATTAGGGCACTTTTATACTGCCCCATCGTTATTTCAGATTTCTGGGTTTTTATTTCAAATCTGAAAGATTTTTTTCTCAACGGCATTGTAGGCGAGAAACTAATAAATGCAAAGAAGCACCCAGTTCTCGTATAATTCCTGAAACAGTCTGCAGATGCATTTCCGAAAGAGACGAGACTTTGCGAAAAATGAATAGATCCATTGCATTATGTCATAAACGATGTCAGAGCCAATGAATAGCTGAATAACAGTACACATCCGTGCAGGCATGCGTTCAAGATTAGGGGTTTTGAAAATTACCATATCGATCCGGAAATTATCAGTTTGAATATGAGCGATCGCAGCCCTGACTGCCCAACGGTACATTTTAATAGTTTATTTATTGTTAGATTAATTTAAGGCAGGCTTTATAAATTTTTGTCACTGATATTTTAGTATTTTTTTTAAATTTGATTCGTGCCTTCGCGGGTCACGAATAAAGCGCGGTGGGTCACTTTGTGCTATCCTGCTATATGTGGTACTAAACTATACCAGACCCCACTAGTATTTTTCAACCCTTTTGTTGGAGTGGGATCTGAATGAAACATTTAGGAAGCTCGATTGATTCCTTTGCAGTAGCTCATCGAATAAAAGCATCATTCAATCATCATTATTTGAGTTAGTTGTCAGATAAGCGAAATTCGCTTTTGATGATTGTTTTTCGCTAAGAACATTACATTTTTTTTTTTGTCAAATAAATCTGTAAATTAATTTTTTCTGAAAATCCTATAATGCCGTTTTTAGATTAAGATTCTTTGGTTACCGCGCAGCTTCATTTTATTCTGTACTGGTATCGCACTACTAAGACATGCTATCTGGGAAAGAATCAGCATTTATCGTTATAATGATCCTCTTTACCGGTATTGCTCAATTCTGCAATTTGTTAAACATTGCATACTACGATACTGTTGTCCCCCAACATCAAGAAAAATATCTGTAAGTAGTTAGGATAGGATAGGATTTACATATTTATCCCGGGGGAGAGGAAAGCCGATAAGACGGCTTATCCATATGACGAACCACGGCCTCTCGTCCGGTTACCATTCCAAGTCGGGTATGGGATTAGTTTTTACTGTATTGTTTGTTTTCGGAAGCATGGACTTAAACATTACAATAATGATTACTACGATACTGTTGTCCCCCAACATCAAGAAAAATATCTGTAAGTAGTTAAACATTACAATCATGATTAACACTGTTATCGGCTTTCACCTCCCAGAATAAATACAAAAATAACATCGTATTGCTATCAACAAACCTGAAATTCAATGTCCATTGCTCGTCCTGCTTTGGTTGTTTCATAAAAGCATTCTCGTTTCATCGGCGAAATTTGAACGGTAAAGTCGACATCCCGGTACCCGAATGATCCTGCTACAATTACAGACAAATAGAAAACCAATTTGATAAACATTTTGTCTATTTCGTTTCAACTTCAAACAGAAAAAACTCCAATCTATGCTGAACGCCGGCGTACGGGAAGCAAACGACACGAAATGCGGAAATGAGAGCGTAGGGTCAGGGGTTAAAGTTGAATTCTAGTCGTGGCAACCGCCTCGATACCCTTTTTCAAGATCTTCAAATTATCGTATATTTCTTGCGCTGTATTTTAATTTAAGATCTGGTATTACTTTTATGAATGTAATATGTTTATCTTGTAGACAAGCTCTGCCACAAATTCCTTCCAAAAATTTTTATTGATCAGGTATCTCAAAACTGGGGGTCCCGACCACACATCAATTCCCGCCATACCGGTGGGTCGCGAAATGACTCAATGGAGATCGCGGTAAAGAGATTTCAACACTAACTTATATTGGAAAATATATCGATTCTAATTGAAAGATTGATACTTATAATCGTCAAAATTTGATCTTTTGTGCGAGAATATGCGAGCATCGATCACATTGAATGTATCGTCATTTTTATTTTTCAATGGCTTCTGTTTTATTAAATTTTATTTTAATCTTAGTACCTGAAGTCACGAAAAAAATTGGCCGTGCAAAGTGAGTCATTTGAAAAAATAATTTAAAAGAACATGGGTATGGATAAAGTGGACGTTTCGGATGTGTACGCTCGTGCGACAGGTATTATTTTCATTTTTTATCTACGAAATGAAACCATGGCTCATTTTATTATTTTTCTGTTGTTATTATTAATTTTCTTGTTACTTTATGAAAAAATCGCTTTTCTCATTCACTAATGGACCTTGACTTTGAAATAACATTATTACGATATAATAAGTTATACTTATACGATATTTTTCAGTTGTTTATTATCGCTATAATTCTATTTTACACGATTACAGGAATAGGATCAATTGGAGATTGAATAAATAAAATGCTCTCTATGTATATTGAGGTAGAAATAAAGAGCACGATATCGGAATTCAACGGAAAAGGTTGGGAACCACTGGACCATACAAGTCCAATCAACGAAAGCCAGAAAAACCAGACTCCGTACACCACCGATAAAATCGCACGTTTGTCGCGCGTTGCTTGCTGATTAGAATTCGTGTTCTCTAGTTTCTTTCCAGCAGATATCAGCAGAAAATCATCATGACTACGCTTCCTATGAACCCGAAACCATTCATAAATTCATTGACTGGGAAACCTGTCATCGTGAAACTGAAATGGGGAATGGAATATAAAGGATATCTCGTGTCTGTGGACGGGTAAGGACTGATTTATTTAGTTAACAGGATAAATCGGGCCTTGCCAAATAAAAGCTCAGATTTTATTTTACCCTGGAAGAGAGGGAAACCGTTAGGACAGACAATCCTGTATGAGCAATGCGATGGCATGCGTATCATGGCTTTCAAAATGATGCATCAAACGTAGCCGTTTATTCACAATTTTTATCTTAAGAAATTAAAGTACCGTACGGCAAAGTTCTACGATTCCAAGAATAACCCCCAACATTTGTAGACATCATTTAAAATAGTGACTGCAAACCTCTGGCACCTCTATATCACCACAAACTGGAATTACGCAATAAATTAAATGGAAGTGGAATCTAAATAAATTGGAATCCACAGAAAAAATGATTAAATTTACCAAAGACAAAAAAATTAATTCAACATAGAATTCAAGAGTTTGCCGTCTCGATTGATTTATACTATTATCGCAACAAACATGAAACAGTCTTACGCAACTGGCATTGTACGAGATGCCCGTATTTCAGAGACAAAGAGGGTATTTGTTTTATTGAATCAAATCTTGGAATCGTAGAACTTTGTTTCACTGCAATGTGCCAGTCGCTGAGCTGAGTGGTAGCAGTTTGTCATATGATTTTGTTGTCTCATCAAAATTCCTCTTTGAGATAAATATAAAAATGTCATATCTCAGTTGAAAACTTCAAATAATTTTTAAGTCTGGTTCCCCCTTTTCATGTAACAACTAACTGATTGTGGCTGGATTTCAGCCAATTTGACCGTTTTTTTTCTCCTGGATAAATCTTATCTCAAGTTAAAACTTTAAACAATATTCCAGGTATATGAACATGCAACTGGCAAACACAGAAGAATATGTTGACGGGGCTTTATCAGGACATCTCGGAGAAATATTGATTCGTTGTAATAACGTACTTTACATCCGGGGAGTAGAAGAAGATGATGAAGAAGGAGAAATGAAAGAATAATCCTCCCCGGGAATTCCTTTCTATACTGAAGACTTCCAAACCTAGATACAACACTTTTTTTTTTTTCGAAAAGAATCATTAAATTTTGAGCTTTTGGGACTTAGTTGAATGTCCGAATGTTTTTTCTAATCATAAACTTCTCTGCCATTATGGCTTTTCTCGAGATCATTCATCCTCACGCCTTAGATTTTGTTCCAGAGTGAGAATTGATACCTTTTAACTTAATAAGTATGCCTAATGCTTTCAGAAATCTGCAGCATTAAGCTTTGACTTTTTATATTTTTCCCACTGGTTTGGTGATCGCATCTACGATGGTTTTTACATGGGTCATCATTATATCGAATTTCAATAATGGAAACATTGTCATATGTGTTATGTGAGCTGTTAAAAATGCTTAGTAAAATTGCTTTAGTCTTTTTAATTTTGATTTTGACTTCTTGACTTGTTCTGATTTAAAGCATTTGACCTCGTTAAGAATATATATTTGAAAATGTGCTTTAAAATTCTTATTTGCCACCCTTGTTGGCCACTAATTTCAACAGATTTTGCAAACTCACTCGTTTTAAAATGTATTATGAATTACAGATTATTCTTTTTGACCACCCTTGGTACAAATATCATTTCTTAAATTAATTCCCACAGTTTTTTTGAATTCACTGAATATAGTTTGAAATTTATGTGTTCTTTGTTCAACATTATAATTCAGAATGTAATTGGAAAAAAGGAATATTGGGCTTTGACCATTCATTGGCCAGTTTGTAACATTCCATAATCTAAAGTAGATATCATTTCTTTTTTCCTGTCTACAGCTCTGATGAGAGTAGAAATGTTCAACGAGGAGGAAATTCCTAAAATTCTTGTTTTTGAGACCAAAATCAGAATGTATCTGGTATGACAGAACGAAAAAAGTTGATTTTTTTGGCAACCCTGGGTTTAAGTAAGCCTTTGTTAAATAAAGCGGTTTCACCCAGTTGTTTGTATTTGGCGTTTTTGTATTAAAGGTTGCACATCCCTGGTTTAAATAATATTTTTAAACTAATTCATTGACTTATTTGTGTTTTGTGCTGAGAATTCTGGCAACCCAGGAATTTTATTTTAAAATGTATTTGGAATAATAGTTTATTCATTTCACCATTTTTGCGTTTATTCTGTCCAATTTTTTTTTCTAACTTTTAGACTTTAAATAATATTTTAGAAAATGGTTTTCTATACCTGCAGTGGCTGTGGAGAATCTTTAAAGAAAAACAAAGTCGAAAAACATGTTTATACTTGCCGCGGATGCGAATATTTAACCTGCATTGATTGTAGTTGTGACTTTTACGGTGACGATTACAAAAACCACACTTCGTGCATCACCGAAGATCAAAAATATTCCGCTAAAGGTACGGAATTTAAACCAAATAAAGGTGACGTTAAGCAACAAAAATGGCTTGATAATATTGACTCGATTCTGTCGGATTCTAACTCAAATTTGAGCTCAAAAGCGAAACAACTTATTGAAAATCTAAAAAACTACGATAATATTCCAAGAAAACGCCCAAAATTCCTCAATTTTTTGAAAAATAGTTTGAGAATGTATGATTCGAAACTTGGGGAGGAAATTTGGTCGGCTTTTTCTGCAGCAAACGGAAAAAATGATGTCAAAAATTGTAAATGGGAGTCAAATGGGGATTCCCGGGAAGAAGAGGGTGTTAAAATAAATGAAGTTGAAAAAACTGCTGAATCAGCAAAAAATGATTCTGCCATTGTCAATAAAAAAGATAAAAAAAAGAAAAAACTGAAATTGGATGAAAACGTTTCAAATCATCCTGAAAAAGATGAAATTTCAGCAGAAAAACCCAAGAAAAAAAAGACTTTGAAACATAAAAAAGAATTGAAGGACAAAAATGAGAGTTCAGTGAATATCTCGTTAAATGAAGACAATGAAAATGCTGGAAAAGAATGCGAAAACCCTCGTAAAATAAAGAAGAGAAAACTGGACACCACTGAAAATTCTGGAAAATCTAAGAAAAAGAAGAAAGATATAAGGAATTGTAAAGAAAACAATAAAATAGAAAAAAATGAAATTCAGAAAACCGATGAAAATAGTGGGAAGGATGAAATTATAATGAAAAGTGCTGATAATTTGGTGCTAAATCACGAAGAAAATGCTACAATACTGAAGAAAAAAAAGAAGAAATCTAAAAAAGGCAGAAACGGACTCAAAAATGCTGATAATGGCATTACTGATGAAAGTTTGATAAAAATTGACAATTCGGAACTAAAAAATGTGGGAGTTGACTCGAAAATAAAGAAAAAACACAACAAGAAAAAAATTAAAACCGAAGTTGATTGAGAAATATTTCTTTCTGCTCCTCCCTGCTTATTACCCACCAGCTATTTGCTCTGAGCAAAGCAATGGACAAGACGAGTTTTCCGTACTTAGGGGCAAATTTTGAAAACAATATTGATTAAAAATTTTACATAGACATAATTGGTTTTTAGGCCGGAAATCAACCATGATTTGATCAGCAATATTTATCGAACTATTTTAAAAAAAAGTTGAAAAAAAGTTGATGTTTTTTTCATATATTCTCAAAACAGTTATTTTCAATTTTTGGCTTCTTGGATTAAAGGCTTTGTATTGCTTATTGTGCTGAATTCAGTAATATTTTCTCTTTGAGCAGAGCTCTAAACAAGAAGAAAAAATGATATATAATTCAGACTAGAGAATATTACCAACTACTAATTTTTTAAATAAACACACCGGTACTATTAAATGGCCAAAACCTTATGATCCACTGAACTGAATTATAGGGCCATGTTTAAACAACGAACACAAAGAAGTCTATGTATCTACTGTTTCAAATACCTTAAGGTAGAATCTACATGTTTATCTTTTTTTTTTTTTGGGGGGGGGGTGGTAAGGCAGCTTATTTGTGTGGGAAACCACGCATCTCGTCCAGTTATCAGTCCATGTCGGGTATGGGATAACTTGACCAGATATATGCTTCAGATTCATGGACTTGATGGTGGAAGAAACCGTAACTGACCGGCGGCGAGAAGTCCAGCAATTCTTTCGCAATAATTCATGTTAACAATACTTGACTGACTCTGATGACCTTATGGTCGTATCGCTCCCTCCAGTCTATACCGAATTAACTTTGTGTATATTGTCTTTAATTTATCGTTTGTTTTCTTGGTTGACAAAACAATAAATCTCTCTCTCTCTCAATATACTCAAAACGAAGGTGATGCTATTTAATGCGATATCTGTACTTGTTTACTGACCAGTAACTGTTCCCAATTTAGAGATATGGCGGAAAGTGATACACGTAACGTTTATCTTACATCCAGCCTACTTCAATATTTTGTAGTTGTCAATATTAAAAACTCGGCCTCCTATAAATACGATGTCGGAAAAGGTAACAAAAACTAACAATGTCTGTAAAGCGCAAAGGACGCAGCATTATTGCGACATACTGGCGTACACTACTTATATTTGAAGTCGGACATGCTGCTAAAATGAGTTTGCCTGGTTTGCTGTTTTAGTCGTATTGTTTGTGGTTAGATTGTACAGGGGTTATTAGGGCCTTTTCCCGTTTTGTGTCACCTTTTCGCGGCCCGGAGGTTACCGACCACTGGTCTATGTTAATTCAGTGAGTTTAGGTTTAGAAGGTCAGGAAGACCAATGGTTTCTTTGGAAAGGATAGGGGTGAGAAAATTCGATAAGACAATTCATTCATGGATTCTATGTCAACCCACTCGTATAGTTCGCCATTATTTGTTTCAGATGCCCTTAATTGTGGATAAAGCCGTAGCCGACTTTAGATCCGTATTTAGCCGTTGCCCAAGGACGCTTGAACTAGATACAGCGATAAATAAGAATAACATAATCTCTTTTAACGATTGTGCCCGGGCTAAGCGTTAGGAATACTCTCGCCACCGCACAAGTGGTTCCTAACCTTTGTTAATGTGTAATATTGAGTGTCCCGTTTCTTATATTTGCTGCTTAATTTCAGCTACAAGGTGTCGCTGACTAGATGACTCTATGAGTCTTTTCGCGACTCCGCGTCAACTGCAACAAGCCGATATCCATTTGACATTTTGTTACATTATATTATTTATTCATTTTTCATATCGCGCATTGTTTTTTTGCATGACGAAAATAAATATCTGAATCTGAATTCAAGCGACCCAAATTTTTTGAAAAATAAATTTTGAGAAATCTCGTAACCCAAGGATATGCTCAAATACCGGTATGTTACATACCGACGGTATGTAATGCTTATACTTTAAATCAGGGGTTCCCAAACTTTATTGCTCGCGGGCCAAAATCAGAACGGGAAACATGTTCGCGGGCCAGAAGAGTGTAGCGCTCGTAAGTGTACGACGGTTTAGCTGGGGCTCAGTGGATTCACTTTCATTTGACATTTTTTTTAAACTTGTTTGTTTGACTCATAATTGCGCTTGATGTTGTATTCCTTCAGAACTGGAATAGTTCGTTGGCAAGAAGACAAATCGCTGAAGTTTGATTTGACATCTCTAAGGTTTCCTATATGGCTCATAACTAAATTACTCCCCTTTGTAATCCTAATACCGGTACGTATAATTGAAATACCGGTGTAATTGAATTGTGACGATAAACACGTGCTTAAACTGTGATAATGACATAACAATTGGCGGTATCTAGATCGCAAAAAGTAGAAACAAAATCTGTTGAACACTATTTTACTTAATTCGGCGGGCCATTTTTAATCGTCACGCGGGCCGGATTTGACCCGCGGGCCGCGGTTTGGGAACCCGTCTTAAATGGCTCGGCGGTGTGGCGCATCGTGCTAAGCGTTAGGAACACGCATACTCTGATTACCTTTCGTGGGATCGCAGATGATTATGTGCGAGAGGATTGCTGGACTCCTCGCCGCGGTAGGGTGGTTCACGTAACCGCTGGTCGGTTACGGCTTCATCCACCATCAAGTCCATGCTTCCGAAAACAAATACCCGGCTAGCTAATCCCATACCCGACTTGGAATGGTAACCGGACGAGAGGCCGTGGTTCGCCATATGATTAAGCCGTCCTATCGGCTTTCCTCTCCCTCGGGATAAATTTGTAAATCCTATCCTATCCTAAATGGTTACAAAATTACCTGACTAATAACAGCGAATGCCAAGTTTCAACGCTGGGATACTTCACACATATACGATTACTATTGAGCAAGACTTCAATACTAAATAAACGGTACTCTCGAAGTATGTGAACCAAGATGGCGGACACCGGAATGTAGTATGTGTGCCAGGTTGGGTGTATGCCATAATTTTAAGTACAAATACTACGGGAGTCGCTTGGCTATGTACCGAACTCGTGATAGAACTAAAATTGGAATACAATTATGGCCTAACCCGGTACACATACTACGTTCCGGTGTCCGCCCTATTGGTTCACGTACTTCGGAAGTACCGAATAAACAATAAATTTACTAGGAAATAAAAGCAGTGATTTTAAGGGTTTTGTTGAATAAACAAACGACCTTCGAAATTTCTGGGTCGTGACCTATGGATGGAGAAACTCTGGTCTACCCTCTTCAGACGAAACCAGGTATGAATGAATCAAACAGTCAAATTATCGCGTCTAAAACAATTTAGAATTATTGCCCGATTTTAAAGAGAGCTAATTAAACAGCGGATGGACTCAAAGTACAGCGGTCACTTTTGTTTATTTAGGGCGGTCGTGTCAAGGTTTACGTTTATCGATTCGCAGGTTAATTAAAAGACAGTAATTTGACTTTAAAAATATGGGACCTATTTAGAGGAGAAGATAGCGGTGGGAATGGTTATATTGTTTCAGTCATTTGAATGGAGCCTTCTGTAGAGAACGATTGGGCTACCGTATAGACTAGAGTCACCATTTCGAAAAAGCAAAATTCCGGACAGTGCCTGACTATTTTCGTGACCTCGTAGTAAAAATACTGTTCTGTATTAGCAGTGCGCACAGTACGATTGCAGATGCAGTAAAATTCCGGATTCCGGACATTCAAGCATTTTTAAATTCTTCCCGGACACAAAATTTAACCCTAAATTCCGGACATGTCCGGGATTTTCCGGACGGTATGGCAACCCTAGTATAGACAGTATGTTATGGATGGATATATATGGTCCCAATCGCTATCAGGGGCATAGGCAAGAATTTTTAAAGGGGAGGTTATATAATTTATAATTGTCGAGTCAGAACGTATCAGCTGGCGGGTCAGACCTGGAAACGTGGTTTTCAAAGAGTTTTAAATGCGTTTCAAGAAAAATGAATGACTTCCTCCGCAGCTTATTGGGCTGCCATAGACAGCTGGTCAGGGATAGATATATATGGTCCCAAACGCCAATTTGAATTTGGCTCAAATGTTTTGTATTAGATTTATGCAAAGCGTGTCATGTTGATGTAGCTGAAGCAACGACATACATTAGTAAAAGACGTAGAGCCATCCCTGTTGTTAGTGAGTTCGATACATAAGTGAACTGCACATAAAAACTACTGTATTTTTCTATCTTTGAAGGATGTTCAGGTAGTGATAGAAGCAACTCGCACTCTGGCCTATGCGCAATTCGAATATTTCATAATGTTTCTGCTTCTAGTGAAAATACAATCTTCAGCCACTGAAAATTTCAAAGCAATTGGTCTAGTCTAGTAATAGTAGGTAAAGTGAAAAGCGATTTTTTCATAACGATGAAAAGAAAAATAATATATAAATAACACATTTTCTTCTCTCAGACGTCTTAGATTAATCATTCAAAACGTGTAGGAAAGATTTCTTGCTATCGACTACGTCAAAAAAAAATTCGCGCTATCGACTAGGTCTTATATTAAGGGGAGGGCTTATATTAAAAATCATTTTTAAAATTCAGGTCAGGTCTTGTTTTCGTGTAAACACGGTAGGTAAGCTGTAAAATATAAAAGTAGATCTGCATTAGTTTTACGAGATTAATTAGACTCGCATTATCTGACAAATTAACCCGGTCTTAGGTTTTATTTGTTAAGTTGTATTTTACGACGCTCATTCCCGCTTCACAATCTGACGTTGCCCTTTGCGAGAAACCACTCTAACGATATGAAAGTGGCTGTGACAGTGGCATATTGGGGGTATGACAGCCATGGGCGCTGTTTAGACAAGGGAGAAAAAAAGAAAACTCTCAATCTTAAAAATGTTGCGAAAAAATAGTTGAAACTCGAATAATAATGTTTTTATTTGTGTATCTCCGGTGTGGTAGCCATGTCTCATGTCATGGCCGCTGAAACGGGCGGGAAATTGTAACCGTAAAATGTTTCAATTCAATAATCCAAATTTGAAGTACTTGAAACTCGTAATTTTACCTAAATGATAACATGGAAATACCTTAATTCAATAACAGTCGTTACAAATTGTAAATCCACAATAAATGGGGCACATTTTAAACTTTGCCGTGGATGCCATTTTACGTAGGTACGCCACTGGGCTGTTATTACCAGGCAGTTATTTCCTTGCGAAAAAATGATACCTCCGAAGTATGTGAACCAAGATGGCGGACATAGTATGTGTACCAGGT